CACTCCAGTCTGGGTGATGGAGTGAGACTCCAACTCAAAAAAAAAAACAAAAACAGATATTGAGAGAAAATTTGTTTGACTGAAGTACATGGGGGGGGGGGAAGTCCAGGAAATATAAATCCTTCCACTAGGGCAAGTGTTTCCCAGAATTTCTGGGTCTCAGCCCCCTGAAGCAACCTCTGACCTACCTGGTATCCCAGTCATCAGAGCCGGTATCATACTTATAGGTAGGCTGGAATGTGAGCTCACCCTCTGTGAAATCTTCAAAGACAGTCTTTGCAGCCACCTGAATTTTCAGCTATACAAAAGGATGAGAGAAAAAGAAAAACTCAGAATAAAAAAGTCAAGCTGTGACTTAACAGAGAAAAGGAAATTCATCTGAAATTCAAATTCTAAACCCCCAAAACAGGTCCTATAAGAAAGCTATTCTATAAGACCTTGAATTAACTCCTAGGAAGAGAACGAACTGACCATTCCTTCACCTGTTATATAGTTTCTAAAAAGGCTCTTTTATAAGAGTATACCTACACCCCCAGGGATCTAAGTACCATTTTACTGAGATGTCCTTAAGAGGATTAGGTACCACTAAACATAGTTTTCCTCTTCCATAGATCAAACACTTCATCTGGCAGGGTGCAGTGGCTCATGCCTGTAATCCCAGCACTTTGGGAGGCTAAAGCAGGAGGACTGCTTGAGCCCAGGAGTTTGAAAACTGCCTTGGCAACATAGTGCGGCCTTGTCTCTACAAAAAATACAAAAATTAGCCAGCCACGGTACCCAGGTACTCAGGAGGCTGAGGTGAAAGGATCGCCTGAGTCTAGAAGGCTGAGGCTGCGGTGAGCCAGGATTGTGCCACTGTACTCCAACCTGGGTGACAGAGTGAGAACCTGTCGAAAAAAAAAACCCCAAAAACTTTCATATGTGTGGCACACTTGCTCCAAATGTACACAGAGATAGAACTGTGTTGTTAAATTAGTTATGTGAACTGGAGGAAGCTCTGTGCCTTGGTTTCTCTATCTGTAAATTTTGGATTTATAATCAAATCTACTTCATCGTGTCACTAGGAAGATTAACTATCAACTTCAAACAGTGCCTGACACGTTATGAAAATAGCTAGCATCCTTCCTATTGTACTGATTTTAGGAGGTCCTTCCAGATTATACTCTCAGCAAGAGATGAAAACCATAGGTACTCTTGCTTCTTTCCTGGAACATCAAGCTTGGCACTGCATGGACTGGGAAAGAACTGTCAGCTCTAACACTGGAGACGAGGTCAGCTATCCAGGAGATACCACTTCCCAAATTCCTGAAAATATGATTTCCTAAAAAACACTATTAAATAAACACTTATTTAATAGATTCATTATAGGGTGCAGTGGTTCCTGAAGTGGAGGCAAGAGGCAAGAGGATTGCCCACGGGTTCGAGACCAGCCTGGGCAACTTGGAGAGACCTCATCTCTACAATAAATCAAAAAATTAGCTGGGTGTGATGGCATGTGCTTGCAGCTCCAGTTTCTCAGGCGGAAGGATCGCCTGAGCCCAGCAGATCGAGGCTGCAATGGCTGTGAGCATGCCATTGCACTCCAGCCTGGGCAACAGAGTGAGACTCCAACTCAAAAAATAAAATAAATAAACAGCAATAGGAAGAAATACACATTTAGGTATGAATGCAAGCTGATGCTTCTTAAATGGGTGGGTACATACAGACCTAAAAACCAGCTAGTAAGCAGATAACGGGTACTATTACTTCAGGAATGACCAGAAAATAAGGCAGGTGAAGATGGGTATCAAATTATTAGAAAAATAGAATGCCTCCCTCCAGAACACAGAGAGAAGAAACAGATATAAACGAGACTGAGCTACCCCTGATGTAGAAACTAATTAGAATAAAAGGAATTTTACCAAGGAAAAGAACTGGAGGGGAAAAAATAGGTCAGTAAAAAATTATTCCAGGCCGGGTGCCTATAATCCCAGCACTTTGAGAAGCCAAGGTAAGAGGATTGCCTGAGCCCAGGGAATTTGAGACCAGCCTGGGCAACTTGGTGAGACCACATCTCTACAATAAATCACAAAAATTAGCTGGGCATGGTGGCATGCATCAGTAGTTCCAGACACTTGAAAGGCTGAGGTGGAGGATCACCTGAGCCCAGCAGGTCAAGGCTGCAGTGGCTATGAGTGTGCCACTGCACTCCAGCCTGGACAACAAGACTGAAACTCCAATTAAAAAAAAAATTATTCAGCCGGGCTCAGTGACTCAGCCTGTAATCCCGCGCCTTTGGGAGGCTGAGGTGAGTGGATTGCCTGAGCCCACGGGTTCAAGACCCGCCTGGGCAACGAGACCTCATCTCTACAATAAATCAAAAAATCAGCCGGGCATGGTAGCGCATGCCTGTAATTCCGGCTACTTGGAAGGCTGAGGCGGAAAGATCACCAGAGCCCAGCAGGTCGAGGCTGCGGTGGCCAGGAGCGGCCACTGCACTCCAGTCCGGGCGACAGAGTGAGACTCCAACTCAAAAAAAAAAGAAAAGAAAGATATATGTCATGTGTGGTGGCTCAGGCCTGTAATCTCAGCTCTTTGGGAGGCTAAGGTGAGAAGACTGCCTGAGCAACTTGGTGAGACCTCATCTCTACAATAAATCAAGAAAAATTATCTGGGCATAGTGGCACACACCTATATTTCCAACTATTTGGAAGGCTGAGGGAGAAGGATTGCCTGAGCCCAGCAGGTTGAGGCTGCAGTGGCCATGAGCATGCCACTGCACTCCAGCCTGTGTGGCAGAGTGAGACTCTGACTCAAAAAAAAAAGAAAGAAAGAAAGGAATAACGAAGATGAGATTCTTTATCTTGTATTATTTTGCTCTAGGGGGAAACAGATAATAGAAAGATGTAGACTAATGACAATATAAGGTTATTAAAAGTGGGATACTAACTAAAAACAGAAAAATGACTTTAACATTCTGAACTACTCTGATCACTTACAGGTTTAAAACCTATTGAAAGAAAGAGCCAGAAAAAAGAAGAGAAACAGATTCTCTTGTACCGTGAAATGCTAATGCTCTGAGAAAGAAATGTTAAGTCAAACAACAGTGGAGAACAGCAAGTTACGGATCTGATTCCTGCACAGAGTGAAGAAGAGCTGTCATTCACATTAGAGAAATCTGGTGAGAAGAATGTAGGAAGTAGGAGGCTTATTTTTTTTAATTATTAAGTCATCTTAAGTATACGAAGTACTTTCTTTATAGAAGCTTGATACCCTTCCAGCCCCAACTTCAGACTTCTTAAATGAATGAATGAGAGAATGTGACAGGGCAAGAACGCACTCATGCTCCCAAAGAAGACAAAGCACCTCAGGAAGAGCCAGTGGGGCAACAACTACAGGAGAGGAAAATGCAGAAGAAATGAAGAAATGAAAGCCATCAGATTCTCAGGGAAGCCTCCCTGGCCAAGGAAGAAGGGGCTGAGAGTTTGGGAGCCCAGATTTCGTGTGCCCTCACAACTGGGGGCAGTGGCCTAAAGAGGGTGCAGGTGGTCATCTGTACCTGATCATATGCATACAGGGTTTGAAAGGCCTTCTCTTCGATGAGCTTTTTCACTTTTTCCACATCCAGCTCTTCTATCCTGTAGTTGAGGTCCCCCAGCCACAAGATCACACTGTGAGGACAGAGCACAAAGGTAACACGGTTTAGGAGGGACTTTAACCCATCCTATCCAGGGTGCTTCTGACAGAAGGTCCCTGAGGCTCAGCCTCTTGGGAAATGGGTGGGGAAATGACTCAGCTGCTCAAGAAATTTCTTCTCATGCCATCCTATTTAATACCCTAACCTGCTTACTCAATTATCTTGGTCCAAGTTTATCATAAACAGCCTTGAGTTCTCCCTGACTATTTTATTTTTTTTATTCTTGTATGGTTAGAAAGATAGTCTAATAAGATACACAGGTAAGACAATAATTTATCCCATTCCTGAGAGGCAAAAAAGATCAAGAATCATGAGGCATGCCAATCAACCAGGGACCCCAAGTCATGACACTGCCTTTGCTTCTGTGTAAACTGTAGTCCACAAAACATACTCTCAGTCTTAATTCCTAGAGCAGAGTTTCTCTGAACAAAGCCCAACCTTCAAAGAGGAGCCTGAATTTCACCACAATCATTGGCTGGCTCTTTTTGTACTCCTGAGCAGAGCGTGACAGGTATTTCATTACATCTGCTGCTTTGAGAAAAGGTCCCTAACTGAAGGTCCCTGATGACATCCCTAACTGAAGGTCCCTGATGACATCACACATCTCATGAAGTTCCAAATGCTCTGTCTGTAGCAACAACTATGTCATTAGAGAATCTGCACAGTAGTATACATGCTCCAAATAAACGCATCAACAAGCTAAATGCAGATAAACTGACACCTAAGCTGTAACCTCACAAACCGGGATGCTGCAGAATGATAAAGACCTCAGCTGTAGGACACACCCTGCTAAGTGTCCTGGAGAAGAAAAGCCATCCTATCAGTTTCCAAAACACCAAAAGCTCCAGACAGTTACATTGCAGCAGGCAGGACAAGACGCATGACTCGTTTACTCCCTGGCAGACACCATGGGCCCAGTGGCTTCTTCCTCTATAAAAGAGGAAGCGTAAGCTTCAACTATTATCATAAAGTCTAAAAATCTAAGACTTTGGCTTTAGACAAAAAGTTTTAAAGATAAATGAAATAGAATAAACAAAAATTAGCATAAGATGCTCTGAGCAGCTGCAACTATAGCTTTGTAAAGTTGAATCAGGAGGAAACAAAGACCAAATGAAGGCAAACGAATATAAGCCAACTCTCAATTACACATGGTCTGGAAAGAACAGACATAAAATCCTAGAACATAGCCAGGCTCGGTGGCTCAGCCTGTAATCCCGCACCTTGGGAGGCTGAGGTGAGTGAACTGCCTGAGCCCGTGGATTCGAGATCCGCCTGGGCAACTTGGTGAGACCTCATCTCTACAATAAATCAAAAAATTAGCCGGGCGTGGTAGCGTGTGCCTGTAGTTCCAGCTACTTGGAAGGGTGAGGCAGAAGGAACACACACACACACACACACACACACACACACACACACACACACACACACACACCAGAGGTAGTAGGATCTACTGAGCCTAGGAGGTCAAGGCTGCAGTGAGCTGTGATCATGTCACTGCCCTCCAGCCTGGACAACAGAGTGAGACTCTGAGACACACACACACACACACACACACACACACACACACACACACACACCCCCATACACACAAACCCAAAACAAAAAATTGGATTTAAAATGCTTGCTCTAGCCAGGCTCGGTGGCTCAGCCTGTAATCCCGTGCCTTTGGGAGGCTGAGGTGAGTAGAGTGCCTGAGGCCGCGGGTTCGAGACCCGCCTGGGCAGCGAGACCTCATCTCTACAATAAAATAAAAAAATTAGCCGGGCGTGGTAGCGCGCGCCTGTAATTCCGGCTACTCGGAAGGCTGAGGCGGAAGGATCGCCGGAGCCCAGCAGGTTGAGGCTGCGGTGGCGGGAGGGGCCACTGCACTCCAGTCTGGGCAACAGAGTGAGACTCCAACAACAACAACAAAAAATCAGCTGGGTGTGGTAGCGCGCTCCTTTAGTTCCAGCTACTTGGAAGGCTGAGGCGGTAGGATCACTGGAGCCCAGCAGGTCGAGGCTACAGTGGCCAGAAGCAGCCACTGCATTCCAGTCTGGGCCACAGAGTGAGACTCCAACTCAAATAAATAAATAAAAATAAAATAAAATAAAATAAAATGCTTGCTCTTTGTTTTCCTCGTAATGTTGGATTGAGGGAGACCCATATTAAAATATATTATAAGCAAGATTCAGACTACAATATAGCTGTTAAGTGTGTGCTGTCATTCCCCCTGCTCAAAATAAAGGTGTTTCTTAACCATACCTGTCTGTAATAGTTCTGTAGCAGTAAGGGACACTTGGTCTCATACATATTGATAAAATTAAACATTGAAAAAACAAGGGGAAGGGAGGTGGGATTAATGGTAGTAATATCTGTCTGGAGACGGGGAAACACCCCTTATCAAAAAGGGTGCCTGAATGAAGCATATTTGTATACCTAACCCTTAACTGTACCCCACAATATCAAAATAAAAAATATTGATATATTTTAAAAAAAAAAGAAAAAACAAAATGAAATACATCTTATGCTCTTCCAGGGACAAGTGATGTTTGAGAAAGATTCTAGAAGTCTGCCGATGGTAAGCTAAGAAGCTAAAAACGTCTAAGAGACATCATCCGTGTGTAGCCAAGAGCAAGCAGATCCTACCATTCTATCAGGGAAAGCCACTCCCAGCCACCTCCCCAGCAAAGACAGAGCCCACAATTCTATACAGCCACACAGGGAACTGCATGAGGTGGAAGCCCAGACTCACTCGTGCTTGCTGATGGTGAGAGGGGGAAGGCTTGGGTCAACCTGACAAAACTGCATTCGAGAACAAATGTCCTTGTAGTCCTGGTTTCTCCTCTCATACTCTTCTGTGTGGGCTGCCAAGTGAGAGTTCACCACACAGATGCTGGTGTTGTGGAACTGGAACCTGATTGCCACACCTCCTTTGTTACCCTATGGAAAGAATCCCCCCAAACATACAATTCACAACTTAGTTGTGTCAGTCATTTAAACCCACAGACTTTCAAAATGTTTTATCTTAGTTTTCATATTATTCTGTGAGGTTATTATCTATATTTTACAGATATGGACACAAATCCAAGAAGGTAGAATGTCAGTGGCAACGCTGAATCCAGAAGCTAGCTCTTTCAATCCAGTGTTCTGTTCACTAAACCACAGCCAAACCATAGGTTCTCCCTTTTCCACACAAAGCTAAGCTCTTGCAGGAGAACCTAAAAGCAGAACTTTAATAGCCTCAAGAAGGAGAGGAAATTGCAAACTTACTAGCAGCATTCTCTGTTTTTCTGGGTAACCCAACATAGTTTCTGCAACATATTTCATGGGTTAAAATGGGAGGATCAACTGGAGGCTCTAGTGTCAGGTGAATATGAGGACAGGTGCTAGTTAGGCAAGTCAGTCCCAATTCACTAAACTATGATTTCTAAATAGTCTACTCAAACCAGCTCTGTTTGAGGGTACAATTCATCTTGCAATATTGGCACTCTTAAACTGAGACACTGCATCATGAGAAGCTGGATCTAAATGTTAGGGTTCGGCCGGACAGAGTGGCTCAAGCCTATAATCCCAGCACTTTGGAAGGCCGAGGTGAGAGGACTGCCGGAGGTTGTGGGTTCGAGACCAGCCTGGGCAACATGGTAAGACTCTGTCTCTACAATAAATCAAAAAATTAGCTGGGTGTGGTAACACATGCCTGTAGTTCCAGCTACTTGAAAGGCTGAGACGGAAGGATTGCCTGAGCCCAGTAGGTTGAGGCTGCGGTGGCCAGGAGCATGCCACTACACTCGAGCCTGGGCGACAGAGTGAGACTCCCACTCAAAAAAAAAACACAAAAAAATCTTAGGGTGTCAAGGACCTCAATGTGCCAGACATACCAACCAAGGACTCACCATCCTCCCCATAATTCCTGTCCCCACAGTCTCAGCTTCCACTTCTGAGATATATGCTGCATGCTCCTGTTTGACATATAATAGCAGCATAATCCCAACCAGTCGGATGAGCTTCACCTGGAAAATAGAGACAAATATTCAAGTCATGGCATTAAACAGAAGTTGCAAACAGGAATAAAGGAATAAATATCCCAAAGGAAAAGTGGTCTGGAAGCTAGCTGAGAGCATAAATGTTATCTCTTTCTTCACACTAGAACACAGGGTAGTCATCTGCCAACTCACTGAGCATGCTACATGATAACCCACAAGCCTACAAGTGCCAAGACCCTGCATCTTTCCTACCCAGAGGCACCTCTTCTAAAGGAGCTAGAATTGAAAATATCACGATAATTAGGATTGGCTTAAGATAAAGGTCATGGAAAGGGTGAAGAATGTTCTTGGAATTTCCCTGCATGGCAACATAAAACTAAAAGGTCCCTAACTTCTCTTACCTTTGCATATTTGGCATCTGGATGAAGACCCTCTGATACAGCTTTAAACCACTCTTCCTCCTTTGGAGTATCATGAAAGAAAAAGGCTTCCTTACTCAGATCAAGCTCCTGAAACCTATTTGGAGAAGTAACCAATTAGAAAGAGAAAGGTGGCCGGGCTTGGTGGCTGGGCTCCCAGCACTCAGGCAAGTGGATTGCCTGAGCCCGTGAGTTTGAGATCAGCCCGGGGAACTTGGCGAGACCTTCTCTCTATAATAAAATTAAAAAAAAAATAGCTGGGCGTAGTAGCTCAAATCTGTAGTTCCTGCTACTTGGAAGGCTGAGGCAGAAGGATCGCTGGAGCCCAGAAGGTTGATGCTGGGGTGCCCATGAGCGAGCGTGCGTGCCACTGCACCCCAGCTTGGGCGGAAGAATGAGACTCCAACTCAAAAAAAAAAAACAAAGAAAGAGAAAAGTAATGTACAAATGACACATTCTCAGAGTGGTAGAGGTGCATAAGCCCTGGTTTTCTAGCTAAACTGCAGGACTCTCAGGAGGGAAGAAACATAAATACTTAGAGCCAAGGAACTTGCAAGATGCTTTCACAGGCATCTGCCCATTTCCTATGCCAGCCCCAGTGGCTCATGCCTGTAATTCCAGCACTTTGGGAGGCTGAGGCAAGAGGATTGCCTGAGTCCATGGGTTCAAGACAAGCCTGGACAACTTGGCAAGACCTCGTCTCTACAATAAGTCAAAAAATTAGCCAGACATGGTGGTAGTTCCAGTTGCTTGGAAGGCTGAGGTGGAAGGATCGCCTGAGCCCAGCAAGTTGAGGCAGCGGTGGCCATGAGTGTGCCATTGCACTCCTGCCTGGGCAACAGAGTGAGACTCAACTAAAAAAAAAAAAAATCAGCCCATTTTCGCTCATGACCAGCTTATGAAGTAGTTGGAAATGTCCCCATTTTATACCTGCAACCACTAGTTTGCACAAACATCAGGTAACAAACTAGAGTTCAAACCTAGTTCTACATACATTACAAATTCTAGTTCTTTCCAATGTACCATACAGGCTTCCTTTGCTACTTCTTCCCACCAATAGTGCCAGTACAGTGTGGTAAGAAGATTTTTCAAAATTAAAAAAATTATGTTGGTGGAAACAAAATACAATAACATAAAATTTTTAAAAAGCTTAACTGATAGGACCTTCTTTAGTTAAACTTCCTTCTCTGGCAAAAAATATCTTTACTTTGTCACCAAAAGAAAAATGTTGAACATCTAAGCAATGAAATTCAATTTAGGATACTCTGATTTTAACAAAGGGTTACATGAAAAACTAAATACTGGCATTTAAATGCCAAGCACAGCACTAGTGCCAGACATTTGTTTACCAAGAGAATGAACATCAAACAGGAAAGCATCTGGTATTTGGCATGTGCTCATCTTTCAATTCCTTCACTTGCTATGAAGACTCAGCTATACAGTCATGGCCCATCCCTTCAACCACAGCTCCATGTTCTTGAAGATGGAGAGATGACTAGGAGAAAAGCACTCACCCTACGCAATATACATCCGGGGCCTGGATACCATGACTCAGCCAAGGTCGAAGGCATTCCTTGGGGGACTGTCCATTTACATTGTATGTTCCCACAAAAAACCTGTCACCAAGAGACACCATCAGTGACTCAGAAGCACTATGGGGATGATAGGAAAAAGCATTTGACGCTAATTTATGCTGGTTTCAGTCTCTATGGAGTGGCATTTTAAGGCATAAGAAATGTCATATCTAACCTAGTCCCATGACCGCAGTACCAAGGGGTGATTTGTAGTCTGTCACAGTATCTGATGCTTTTGTGATAACAGCTTCAACTGGTGTGGGCCTACTCTGGCATTCCTACTTCCCTTCAACAGCCATTATCGAGCCATCATCTATAAATGATGCTTTACCCTGTGTATCCCACTGAAATGGAAAAATGAAAAAAAAAGTACCTTGGTAGTCACTTTTGCAGGAAAGCAACACCAGTGTTCAAAAGGCTATTTCTTCACCACAATTCACTGTTTATATCCCTAGAAACAATGTTATTTTGTCTTATGGTCCCAATGGAATGATTCTGAAAGATCTACCAGAATCCTGCAGCCTTTATATTCATTTAACTTTTGGTAATCTTGCCTAAAAAGATGACCAGACACCAACTAACTTCATTTTAATTAATCAATTAATTAATTTTCTAAAGAGATAGGGTCTCACTCTGTTGTCTAGGCTGGAGTGCAGTGGCAGGATCAAGGTTCACTGCAGCCTCCAACGCCTAGGCTCAAGTTATCTTCCCACCTCAGCTTCCCAAGAAATTGGGACTATAGGCATGTACCACCACATCTGGCTATTTTTTTTCTTTAATCCCAGCACTTTGGGAGGCCGAGGTAAGAGGATTATCTGAGTCCACGGGTTTGAGACCAGTCTGGGCAACTTAGTGAGACCTCATCTCTACAATAAATCAAAAAAAAATTAGCCAGGCAAGGTGGCGCATGCCTGTGGTTCCAGCTACTTGGAAGGCTGAGGCGGAAGGATCGCCTGAACCCAGTAGGTTGAGGCTGCAGTGGCTGTGAGCGTGCCACTGCACTCCAGCCTGGGTGATAGAGTTAGACTCCAACTCAAAAAAAATTTTTTTGTAGAGATAGGGGTCTCACTCTGTTGCCCAGGCTGATCTCAAACTCCTGGCCTCAAGTGATCCTCTTGCCTCAGCCTCCCAAATGCTGGGATTACAAGCATGAGTCACCACACCTGGCCTACTAACTTCATTTAGTTTCTTCAAAATCCCAGATTGACTGAGGGAATACTAAGTCTCAGAGGGATACACAAGAATCAGGATGTCACACTTTTTTCTGTAGCCATTTGTCTCTGTAAATATTTCTGTAACTATCTGCAAGTTGTGTTACTCCTACTATGCCACACCTACTGCAGTGCCCACCCAAAAAAGGTACAGAATAAATACCTGTTAATGAAGACTGACAGAATCACTCATTTTGAAATGAGGGGAGAGATTCTATAGAATAATCCAAATCCAGGGTCTGGGAGGAGGTGTTTAAGGAGAGCCGAATGATAATTTTGTTTTGAAAACAGTCTAAGATCCAGTTAGCTACCTGAAGTTCTGGATATAGGTATAATCCTCTTCTTTTTGTATTAAATGTGACTTCACAAGTGTATCTCGCAGTCCAAACTTCTGCATTGACAAAATATGAGACTTGTCTGATACTAAAACAGTGGAGGAGCGAACCATGTCAGTAATTTCAGACTTGTATTTATTCTGCCTAGAAAAACAAAAACATTTTTTTTCATATGTTGATGAGTTGTCCAGGGCAAAATAAATGATTATAATGCTACAAGTTCCCATATACAAGTTGCTGTGTCACAGAAGACTAAAGAAGCCAATGTGAAATGTATTTACTAAAACAATACTATTTCTATGTGAATTAAATAAATTTATATTTTATTGATTGTATAGTATATTGGTCTGGAGATTTTTCTGATAATAGGTTCATAGAAGAGGACCTTGAAGACAGCATACTATAATTTCCTCATTTTTATTTGTTATTTATTTATTTATTTTTGAGTTGGGAGTCTCGCTCTGTCGCCCAGACTAGAGTGTGGTGGCCGCTCCCAGCCACCACAGCCTCGACCTGCTGGGCTCCGGCGATCCTTCCGCCTCAGCCTTCCACATAGCTGGAGCTACAGGCACGCGCTACCATGCCCGGCTAATTTTTTGATTTATTGTAGAGATGAGGTCTCACCTGCCTAGGTGGGTCTCGAACCCGCGGGCTCAGGCAATCCACTCACCTCAGCCTCCCAAAGGCATGGGATTACAGGCTGAGCCACCAAGCCCGGCAATTTCCTCATTTTTAAATAAGAAAAATGAAACTCAGAATCACCAATGACTCACCCTACTGAATGGTGGCAGAGTGTAGGATTAGAACTCAGATCTGACAGTGCCCTTTCTGAACCCCAGTACCTCACATATCAAGACCATAGAACCCTCTAGATCCTTTGACTTGATCATTATAGTCTGTATCTCTATTCCACAGGAATAATCCAAAATAAAAACAAAGGTAATGAAAATGTATATTTCATTATTATTTGTGTAGTACTGTATTTATAGTCATACTAAAATCATTCAAATGCCAAGTTTAACAAAATTGTACATATTTGCCCAACATAGTACTATATAACAGCTCAGGAAATGTGTGTTGAAGATTACTTAACCATCTAAGATATATGGCACCTTTATTTTATTTTTATTATTATTTTTTCCAAGTTGGAGTCTCACCCTGTCGCCCAGGCTGAAGTGCAATGGCACACTCATGGCAGGCTGAAGTGCATGGCAGCCTCAACCTACTGGGCTCCGGCGACCCTTTTGCCTCAGTCATCCAAGCAGCTGGAACTACAGGTACGTGCCACCACGTCCAGCTACTTTTTTTATTTTTTGTAGAGATGAGGTCTAGCCAAGTTGCCCAGACTGGTCTCGAACCCGTGGGCTCAGACGATCTTCTCACCTCAGCCTCCCAAAGTACTAGGATTATAGGCGTGAGCCACCAGGCCGGCAATATTAAGGCACCTTTAAAAGTCTCAGCTAAGCCAGGCATGGTGGCTCATCCTATAATCCCAGCACTTTGGGAGGCCGAGGGAAGAAGACTGCCTGAACCCATGGGTTCGAGACCAGCCTGGGTAACTTGGTGAGACCTCATCTCTACAATAAATCACAAAAACTAGCCAGGTGTTATGGGTGGGTGTGTAGTTCCAGCTACTTGGAAGGCTGAGGCAGAAGGATCGCCTATGCTCAGCAGGTCAAGGCTGTGGTGGCCGTGAGCGTGTCACTGTACTCCAGCCTGGATGACAAGAGTGAGATTCCAACTCAAAAACAAAACAAAACAAGAAACTTCAGCTGTGTGCAGTGGCTCACACCTGAAATCCCAGCACTTTGGGAGGCTGAGGAGGGAGGATTGCTTGAACCCAGGAGTTCGAAACCAGCCTAGGCAACATAGTGAGATCTCATCTCTACAAAAAAAAATCTTAAAAAGTTAGCCCGGCATGGTGGCATGTACCTATAGTCCCAGTTATTCGAGAGGCTGAGAAGGATTGTCTGAGTCCAGTAGGTAAGGGCTACGGTGAGCCATGATAGTATCACTGCACTCCAGTCTGGGCAACAGTGAGACACTGACTCAAAAAAAAAGTTTCTAGTTGGGCACGGTGGTTCAAGTCTGTAATCTCAGCACTTTGGAAGGCAGAAGAGAGAGACCTCATCTCTACAATAAATCAAAAAATTAGCTGGACGTGGTGGCTCATGCATTTCTAGCTACTTGGAAGGCTGAGGCAAAAGGATCACCTGAGCCCAGCAGGTAGTGGCTGTGGTGGCCATGAGTGTGCCACTGCACTCTAGTCTGGGCAACAGAGTGAGACTCCAACTCAAAAAAAAAGTTTCTGACAAAGAAATGTCACATGTGTTATATCTTTATGTACATGCTAATTAAGTCTATGTAAAACATATCTATGCATATTAAGATGACTCAATAGCAAATTGCAAATGATCTAGCTACACTTAAATTTCAGGGATTGTTCATTGCTGCTTAAGCACATAATTAAAATATTAACACAAATAAGGCCGGGCGTGGTGGCTGCAATCCCAGCACTTGAGGAGGCAGAGGTGAAAGGACTGTCTAAGCCCAGGGTTTGAGACTAGCCCGGACAACTTGGCAAGACCTCATCTCTACAATAAATCAAAAAATTAGCCAGACATGATAATATGTGACTGTAGTCCCAGCTACTTGGAATCTGAGGCAGAAGGATTACCTAAGCCTAGCAGGTCGAGGCTGAGGTGGATGTGAGTATGCCACTGTACTCCAGCCTGGGCAATAGTGAGACTCGGACCAAAACCAAAAAAAAAAAAAAAAAAAAAAACGCAAATGAGAAAGTGTGAAGTTTTACCTTGACCAGACAATTCTGACTATGATCGGTAGGGGGCACTGTTATATAAACTAAATAAAACAACAGAAAAAAAGAAATAAGTAAATAAAAAGGAAAAAAGAAATAACTTCAGTCAGGAAACTCCTAAAATAATGAAAGGGTGAAATCAAATGTGCCTAATCTACATTTCTAAGGGAGGATTAGACTGCCAGTTTCAAATTCTAGATTGGCCACTTGCTAGTCCTGGCACCTTGGATGAGTTATGTAACTTCTCATCACCTGAATTTCCTTAGCTGTAAAACAGAAAAAAGTATCTATTTCTTAGGCTGAAATATAAGAGCATGATGCCTGGCATACACTCAGTAAGTGCTCAACAAATGTCAGGTATCATTAAGGGCATTTCCTAGGTCAACTATCCTGGGACAACTTTCTTTTTTTTTTCTTTATTTTAAAGATGTGGGGTACAATTCAGGGTTAAGTATACAAATATTTATTATGCAGGTAACCTTGGTGATGAGGTGTGCCCCTCCCTCCCCTGGCAGTTTCCCTCAACTACCAATCCCACCCCCCTCCCCTAGCAGTTTCCCACTACTGCCAATCCCTTTCTTACAGTATTATGACAATTGTTCAAAGCCTGCTTACGAGTGAGAATATGATACCCTGTTCTTTGTTTCTGTGATCGATCACTGAGTATGATAGACTCTATCTAAATCCATCCAAGTTGCTGTGAATGGGACAGCTTTCATTATGCACAGTATAATGGCCTCAGTTCCAAGAATCATAAGTGGAGGGAGAGTTGCATTACCTTGTGAGTAAGCTTTCTGGTTTATCCTGACCCCGGGAGCTATGGTCCATAAGCAGACCTTTCCCATTTGGCTTCAACCCGTCAAAGTTGGAACCACCTAAAGGGAAGGGAAAGAAATTAAAGTATACTTACATATGCTTTAATACATAGACCACAGCTTCTCAAATTGCAGTCTAGGAATTATTGGTAGTCCACATGTTGCTTGAAAAGGCCTTTGCTGGGGTCTGGGTAAAGCCCCAAAGATCACATACAGAGGGGAAAAAAGTATTTCATCTGGATGTCTTTACTGCTGAAAACATAACTGTTCCAGTTAGTTTAACTCCCTTTTCTTTGAGACAGGGTGTATTATAGAAAGAATAAAACTATGAAACCTGAAAAGCTAAGTTTTATCACCTGTTTCATATTTAACAACCTTCTGACTTTGGGCAAGTTATCCAGTCTCTCTTAATCTCAGTAATTTGAACTGTTCTGCCTTCTTCATAGGCTTACTGCAGGATCAAATTAGTTAACGTGTGAGTATGCATTTTAAAAGCCAATATATTATAAAATATAAGACTGTATTCGTACTACCATCTATTTCAAGTGAGACTTCAGCTCCACAGAGGAGAAAGGCCAGGGTCAGAGATCTAAAATTGGAAAGAGTCTAAGCACTCTAGGGAATGAAAATTGCTCGTCATGGTCAACAAATTGCCTTGAAAAACAAAAAGCCCAAGGACTCAACACAGAAATATTTTGGGAAAGTCGTTAAACCAAGATAAACCTAAAAGGAAAATTAATCTGCCAATAGCTTTTCTGCTCCTTAAAAATCAAGTCTCTTGTCAACAGGGAATAACATGAAGAGGCCACAGAGAGATATGACATCCATACCCAAATTATGGGAAGGAGCTCTGGAGGCATGAAAACACCACTGAAGAATTTTGCACTGAAGACTATTACTAAACATGGATTTCTCAACCATGCATTCACATAAATCAGAAAAAACAAACTTTTGAAAAATGAAGACATAATCATTTGAAACATGAAAATAATTACACACCAAGGCCTCCAATCAGCCACAAGTGCTACAGACTGAATATTTATGCCCCTCCCAACCAAATCCATCTGTTGAAATCCTGACCCCCAAGGTAATGTACTAGGAGGTGGGTGAGGCCTTTGGAAGGTGCTTAGTTCAAAGGGTGGAGCCCTCATGATTGAGATGAGTATCCTTACAAGGGCTGAGGAGACCAGAGTTCCCCTTTCTGCCCTGTTTACAGATAGCTGCCTATAAACCAGAAAATGGGCCCTCAGCAGACACTGAATCTGCCAGCACCTTGTTCTTGGACTTCCCAGCCTCCAGAACTGTGAACAATAAATCTGTTGTTGTTAAACCACCAAACTCATGGTACTCTGTTATAGCATCCTGAATGAACCAAGACATCAAAGTCTTTCAGTTTTGCTTCCTAAATGCCTTTCAAACCAATATATTCCTATCCCGATATCACTGTACTTGTCTAGGTTACCAGACTCCCTTGATTAACTACAAAAGTCTCAACTTATCTCCCAGCCTCTTACCTCACCCTCTCCAACCCAATCTCTACACTGTGGCCAGAGGTTTTATTTTTTGAAAAAAACTGAAGCCAGGTGTGGTAGCTCACACGTGTAATCCCAGCACTTTGGGAGGTAGAGGTGAGAGAATTGCCTGAGACTAGGGGTTTGAGACCAGCCTGGGCAACTTGGTGAGACCTTGTCTCTAAAAAAAAAGAAAAAGTAAATTGGACCACATCACTTTAAGTCTTTTAAACATTCGCTACTGAATAAACCCAAATCCCTCCATATGGTTGCCAAGGCTCTTCCCAGGCTGGAACCTGCTCACCTCGTCAGCCATATCACTCACCACAGTCCTCTGGCCCCTACCTTTTTGATGCCACGCTCCAAACATATTAAAGGTACTGCAGCTACATAAAGATCCCATTAGGAACTGACTTCCCTCTTCTTCACTGCTATGGCTAACTTCTATCTATCCTGTGCCAGTCAGCAAACTTTTTCTACAAAGGGTCAGAGACTAAATGTCCTAGGCTTTGCAAGTTCTACAGTCTATGTCACAACTATTCAACTTTGCCATTACAGTTGCATTTTACAGATGCAAAAGCATCTATGAGTATGGGTGCATTTCAAAGAAACTGTATTTATGGACACTGAAATCTGAATATCATATAATTTTCATATATCACAAAATATTATTCTCTTTGAGTCTTTTCAAACATTTGAAAATGTAAAAACCACCCTCAGCTCATAAGCTACACCAAAGCAGGCAGCAGGCTGGATCTGGCCTATGGATTGTAGTTTGCCAACTTCTGCAGTAGGTGAAGCCTTCTCTGACCCCTCCTAGACTAGTCAGATGTCCTGATATTGGCATTTCCGTAGCCCCCTTTACTTTCCTATCATAACTTTGACTTCTGTGTGTTATAGTTGTTTTTTCCATGCTGTTGTTGCTGTAGACTATAAGCTTCTTGAGGATGAGACTACATCTGATTTATTCATCACTGTATCTCCATCATCCAGCACACCACTCAGCCATTATAAGCAGTGCAATCATCCAACAAGTCAATACTAAATACTAGATGAACTTGAATTCCTATGTGATTTATGTAGATACATCATATCCAAGTTAAAGTCTGTAGCATTCTTTTGGAGAACAGGTTGAGTCTAGAGTCCTAATATCCATAGTTACTTATAATTATTTCTGGAAACCAAATCCCCAACTGGATTCTATCTCTCCGCCTTTACTTCTGAGCTGTAATAACACTTAGAGAACTAAGGTATTTGAGTTAGTGAATGGTGTACTGGGACACCTAGTACAACGGCTAAAATTTTTTTAAAAACTAACAATACCAATTGCTGACAAGAATGTAGAGCAATATAACTCTCATTCATTGACAGCTGAAATGGAAAATGGTAAAGGCAATTTGGAAGACAATTTGGCAGTTTCTTACAAAGCTAACCTGTCTTATCTTATGATCCAGCAATCACACTTTTAGCCATTTGCTGACGTGAAAATTTGCCAGGCATGGTGGTGTGTGTCTATAGTCTCAGTTACTCAAGATCCTGAGAAGGCGAGGCTTGGTAGTTCAGCCTGCAATCCCAGCACTTTGGGAGGCCAAGGTGAGTGGATTGCCTGAGCCTGTGGGTTTGAGACCAGTCCGGGGAACTTGGCAAGACCCCATCTCTACAATTAATCAAAAATTAGCTGGGCATGGTAGCACATGCCTGTAGTTCTGGCTACTTGGAAGGCTGAGGTGGAAGGATCACTGGAGCCCAACAGTTTGAAGCTAGGGTGGCCGTGAGCGTGCCACGGAACTCCAATCTGGGCGGAAGAGTGATATTCCAACTCAAACAAAAATAAATAAACGAAGCTGAGGTGGCAGGATCGCTTGAGACTAGGAATTCAAGAGTAGCCTGGACAATATAGTGAGACCCTTGTCTCTTCAAAAGTAAATAAATAAAATAAAATAAATGTGGTGGGACATGCCTGTAGCCTCAGCTACTTAGGAGGCTGAGGCGGCAGGATTGCTTAAGCTCAAGTGTTTGAGGCTGCAGTGAGTTGTAATCTCAGCCAGTACTCCAGCCTGGGCAACAGAGAGAGACTCTACTTCTAAGAAAAAATAAACATTAAAAAAATGTATTTATACAAAAAAACCTGCACATAAATGTTTATAGCAACTTTATTTATAATTACCAGAAACTGGACAGTCAAGATGTCTTTCAACAGGTAAACTGATAAACTGTGATATATCTATATTATTAAATATTACTCACCAGCCACAGCAACACAGTGAGACCTTGTCTTTAAAAAATTTTTTTCTTTCATTAGCCGGGCATGGTCACTTCTTTCTGTAGTCCCAGCTACTTGGGAGGCTGAGGCAAAAGGAATGGTTGGGCCCAGGAGTTAGAGACTATAGTAAGCTATAATTGCTCCACTGTACTCCAGTCTTGGTGACAGAGTGATACCCTGTCTCAAAAAATGTATCTGCTGAAGATCAAGCCACCAAAAGGAGTAATTTTTTTTTTTTTTAGTTGAGGTCTTACTCTGTCACCCAGCCTGGAGTGCAGTGGCACAATCACAGTTCACCACAGCCTCGACCTCCCAGCTCAGGTGACCCTACTGCCTCAGCTTCCCGAGTAGCTGGGACTATAGGCATGAGTCAACACGTGTTTTTTTGTAGAGATGAGGTCTTGCTATGTTGCCTAGGCTGGTCTTGAACTCCTGGGCTCAAGTGATCCTCCCATCTCAGCCTCCCAAAATGCTGGGATTATAGGCATGAGCCACCATGCCTGGCCTAACACATGAATGAATCCTTTTTTTTTTTTTTTTAAAGACATGGGCTACAATTCAGGATTAGATATACAAGTGGCCATCACACAGGTAAAGTTTGGGCCTCCCTTTGGTCCCCATTTTGCCTGGTTTAAGATCAGGTACCTTTATCGATATTGTGTCCCCCCTGCTACTCCCACTCATAAATGAATCTTAAGTGCACATTGCTAAGCGAAAGCAGTCATTCTGAAAAGGCTACATACTATATGATTCTGATTCTATGACATTCTGGTAAGACAAAACTATAGAGCATGTAAACAGATCAGTGATTACCAGGGTTTCTGGGGGTGAAGGTAGGGTTCAATAAATGAAGCACGGGAGACTTTTTAGGAGTAAAACTATGCTGGAATAAGCTGCAATGGTGGATACATGACACTGTGGGTTTCAAAACCCACAGAACTTTATAGCACAAAGAATGAACCTTAATATATGTACAATTTCTTTTTTTTTTTTTTTTTGAGTTGGAGTCTTACTCTGTCACCCAGGCTGGAGTGCAATGGCACACTCCTGGCCACCTCAGTCTGAACCTGCTGGTCTCAGGCAATCCTTCTGCCTCAGCCTTCCAAGTAGCTGGAATCACAGGTGTGCACCACCACATCCAGGTAAATTTTTTATTTATTGTAGAGAGGAGGTCTTGCCAAGTTGACCAGGCTGGTCTCAAAACCCTGGCCTCAGGCAATCCTCTCACCTCCACCTCCCAAAGTGCCAGGATTACAAATGTGAGCCACTATGCGCAGCTTGTATGT